ATCTTGTTGGTTGGAGCACTATATCTGTATTTCGTTGAGTAAGATTTCACGGAACGTTTTCTATAGTCTCTTCTCCTGCAGAAGTTTTCTTTATGCCCCTTCCGATGACATTTGCTGCAACGATGTTCTTTATGTGGGCAAAACCTCTTATAGTGCCAACCTCCACATGCCCAGCATGGAGATGATGGTTTGTCGCTGTTATTTTGGAAATTATGGGTACTGGAACCTTGAAAGACTTTTCTCTTGACTGCATTGACGTTACGGAAACAGTTACCGTTTTCTACCATTGAGGTATCATGCTTTAAGTTTACTAACCTTTGGCACTCAGTAGTCACTTCTTGCAGGGTCATGTTAGGGCAGTGTTCGAGTTTGCTTAGGATTCTGGTTCGGATATCGGCATCTTCGGGTGAACGCAGGCTGCAGATAAATACTAAGCATTTAAACTGATCTTCAGACATGGACGACAATTTAAATCTCTCACATTCTCGGTTCACAGTTCCTGCATGCTTCACCCAGTCATCTCCTGGTTCTTTCGTTAACTTTAAGCACTGGTAACGGATATTAAATAGAGATGATTGTTCTCCAAAGATTTGGGATAGGGTTTTGACTGTATCATCAAAACTAAAATCTCGTGGGTTCTTCGGAAGAATGAAGTTGCTATAGCGTTCATGTTCCATAGTCCCAAGTTTTCTAAGAAGTATTCTGACTTTTGAAGCATCATCCAGTTTGCAAAGATCAATATAAAACAAATCTTCATACTTCTTAAACCACGACTCGAAAGTTACACCTGCTACACCATCAAAATTAAATTCATGGATGGCGTTAATGACTGAATCAGTATGTGATACTTGAGATTCACTAGAAGCAGGGTTTTTCTCCGACAGGCAGAATTTCTGCATCAGGGTTTCCATGATTCTAATATGGGACTCTTCAAACCTCTTTTCTTGACGCACCATATAAGCTTCTAATTGCTCCAAGGAAATATTCATTGAAGTTTTCATCCCCGTCGCCACTGATAAGTCGTGTAAGGTTGAACGCTATATACGATTCCTAAGCTAATCCGATAACCCGCAGTCTAGAACTACACAGCGACTTGAACTCCAGAGAGAAGACACAAGAATGAGAGAAAGCACTTTATTCCAAGGTTCATCTTTGTACAGAAAATCATGGGTATTTATAGATTTTGGCGTCTGTTAAATCAACATCATTTTACAGCCAATCCGATAACAGCACATTATGCTACCGACCAATAGTAGCACGCCACGTTGGAATTCTAGAACGTTCCATCACACTCTGATTGGCCAGGACTCTTCGGCTCCTTGTGGGCCTCTGGAGGCTCCGTTGAAGTTCTCCGGAAGCCGACCCAACAAGAGGGAGACCCATTAGAACTCGTCCGGCAGCAGAAAGCTGACCCTAACCTTCGAGAGGTAATCAGAGTGATAAAAGAGGGAGCAGACGTAGATAAACGAACAATGGACAAGGATGTAATAACGCTGCTTCGGCAAAAGGAACGACTGAGAGTGAACTCATATGGAGTGCTGACCTGGCAGGACGATGATGAGAATTGGGTGGCGGTGATCCCGAAAGACTGGCGGCGTAAAGTGATACACGAGTGTCACCAGGTAGCACATACAGGCATCGCAAGAACGACGGACTTACTACGACAAAGTGCATACTGGCCGAGCATGAGAGACGATGTGGCTGAATACGTGTTAACCTGCCAGCAGTGTCAGCTAATGAAAAGCGATCAATACAGACAACCGCCATTACAGTCAATCCCAGTAACCGCAAAAAAAAAAAAAAAGTCGGTGGATGTGATGGGACCGTTTCCACAGACGGCGAGCGGTAACCAGTACCTGTTAGTGATGACGGAACATGCTACACGTTGGGTAGATGCCGTACCCATTGCAGACCAGCGGGCAAGGACAGTGACCGAGGTGGTAATCCGGCATATTGTAGCGTGTCACGGAATACCGAAGATGATATTAACTGACCAGGGTCCCTGTTTTGAAAGTGACGAAAAAAAAAAAAGTTTAAAGCAGTTTGGCATCAAGAGAATACGAACTACACCGTATCATCCTCAGACAAACGGGCTTATAGAGAGAAACAATCGAACGTTAAAGGAATGGTTAGCATCAAAAGGAGGAAATTGGGAGAAAGAGTTACCATTGATTTTGCTGGCACATCGTTCCTCCACACAAGGAACAACCAAGAAGTCACCTTTCTTGCTCATGTATGGCAGACAACCACGACTTCCAATGCATAATAAGACCCGGCCACAACAACAGAAGTGGACGACAACAAGGTTAAGAAAAGAGAGGAGAGAGGCAATAAGGAACGTGGAAAAGAAACAAATATCAGACACAAAGAAGGCAGAACAACAGAGGAGAACGTGGAAACCCTTTGCAGTGGGGGACCTAGTAAAGTGTAGAGAACGAAAAAGTAACATAGCAGGGGGAGCAGGGTCGGGGAAGCTGGCCCCAAAATGGGAAGGACCGTATGTTATCACAGAGAGACGCGGCTCGGTCTACACGATCCGGAGAGAAGACAAGCAGAAGCGCGTAAATGCTAGTCAACTACAGAGATGGTTTCAAGATCATCATAGGTGTGAATCACGAAAAGCACCAAAGAACACAGCGGTACGGAGATCAGAAAGACTACGACAGCAACTTGTTAAAAGGGGGGACGAGTGTGGTGCGTGCTACTTATATTGATATAAGTAGTATATAACGTGAGTCAAAAGAACGTAACGTCTGGCAGCAGAAGATGGAGAAGATCAAGAAAAGAAGAGCGAGAAAACAATGGAATTTGTAAGAAATCGCATGAACAATGAAATGCGAGACAATGGATTGAGGTTTGCAAAAGCAACAGTCCGGTTTGATATGATGGAATGATATTTTGCAAATTAACGATTTACTATATGGTTTTTCTATTTTACCAAGTAATTCTGTAATTTGTCCTAAATACAATTTGGTTGTCCTCACCCGTGTTCTCCTTCACTACACTGGTACTGGTTAACGCATAAGGAAAAGCTCATATAGGTCGGTGTTCTGATTGGCGGTTTTGTCACATGATATTAAAAAATCACTTTACAATTCGAGACATCTGTTACAAATTAAATGCTATTCATGCGTAACATGTTTCCAGAATTACAATAGACCTACAGTAATCAATAACACCGGCATGAAGATGTTTTTCAAAAAATATCGGCCATTTAGTAGTTTAGGCAAGCCAATGGCAGTGAATCTAAGTCTTTCGTTCAATGTTCGTTTGTTTGAAGAGTTACATCCAGTGACAAGATGGTCTACCAATCATAAGAATGAGTTGCTCGTGTAGTTAATGTGGGAAGTCAATGGTCCTTTCAGCTGGCAAATCATACAAGGAAGATTCATTCTTTATTGATTTCCAAGGCTCCAAACTTTGTTGTTGTTAAATTCGTGTGTGAAACTTTTAAGAGTAAAATAATTCCAGAGGATGTTGTCACTATGTATCCCGAGTGTTCAGGTAATTAAAAATTGTAGGTTCGTTGAACTTACATCAATAATTTTGAACCATACATGTATACTGAGTATACAAGAAAAGTTGACTGGAATTTTCGGTTTTATTTGCACAACCGCAAAACAAGTACAGGTTATCATTTTTCAAGCTATGTATATTTTGTGATTTGTGATGAGCGTTCGAATGTAGTAATGTTTTTTGCTTGCACTACACATATTAGAGAATTAATATCTACAACGCAAGTGCGCTATAATCTTAGAAGAGCTTCAACTCGATAATTTGCAATATATACGACCCAATAACCTTTAAGATCCTGGTTATGAAACTACTACATGGCTGATAATTTCTTGTTTTTATCAGAATGTGTTTTGTGGAGATTTTTAGAAATTTTCACAGATTGAACTCATGAGTCAGTTGAAGCTAGACCACCATTGAAAACCTGGAAGCACTGGACGGCCGTTTCGTCCTAGTATGGGACTCCTCAGCAGTGCGCATCCACGACCCCGCACCACCCGGGGCTCGAACCCAGGACCTACTGGCTTCGCGCGCGAGCACTTAACCATTAGACCACTGAGCCGGCATCCAACGGTGTTAATGTCTAACTTCAACCAATCCACGAAGTTGCGCTACCGTACACCATTGTCTTCAGTGAGTTCCTATCTCACAACAGACCTGGTTGAACTCCACTGGTAACGACTTCTCACTAGAACTCCAGAAGTGTCTCCTGAAGTCAGTCACTAGTGAGCTCGCGCGCGAAGCCAGTAGGTCCTGGGTTCGAGCCCCGGGTGGTGCGGGGTCGTGGATGCGCACTGCTGAGGAGTCCCATACTAGGACGAAACGGCCGTCCAGTGCTTCCAGGTTTTCAATGGTGGTCTAGCTTCAACTGACTCATGAGTTCAATCTGTGAAAATTTCTTGTTTACTAATTTTTGATATCATAATTTGTAATACGGAATTTGTCTTACACAGTTATCTTTCAATCAAACATATTTATGGATGGGATGTAATTGATGTATCCTATTCTTCGTTAAGTGATTTCAACAGACCAGCTAGCAATGGATTAAAATACAAAGACAATTTTATTTGATAAAATGGGTACATAAGTAGAAGTAAATTAAATGAGTTGCATCAATAAAACAGGTTGTTTTTAATATGTATCTGCAGAAGATTTCAATAAAATCAATTATTTGTGAAGATACTGTAAGGAAGAACAAACAAAAGGGGTTAGATTATTCAAAACTTTGAGTTACATCAAAATTTTATACGCTGTAAATTAATAATTGAAAAACATCAATGTCTCGATCTTTGCTGGTGGTAACCTTCAACATGTTGTTTACATAAAAGATATTCAAATAGAGTTTGTAAATTTCATGTCACAACCATTGGTTAGTGTGTGATTAATATGATTATATATCTTAAACCAATGGGTGAGAGCTCTCATGAAATGTTTTAAAAAACGCAGTTAGTAAGAAAACTTAATATGTACAAACAAAAAATAATTACCACTTAGTAACCAGAACCACGACCACGAGAAGCGTAATTACCAGGACGGCGATAACTGGTAGTGCTCACTGAATTTACTCGACCTTTGCTTGACAAACACGAATTTCGAGAAGCACCAGAAAACCGAGCATTTGAATTTTGTTGGTCAGAATAATAGTCACTTCTGACGGACTCTCCTTCTCCTCGGTAGTCATAACCACGGTTAACAGTCTCTCTGGAGCTCTGTTGAGATCCCCTATTAGATCAAGAATTGAAATTTCATAAACAAATTAGAGTTGTAACATATTTGGCGGTGAAATTATGTCATAAGTAAAATATTGTAGTTTACTTGGCTTTAATTACATGAATTTTCGTAAGTATATTATAAAACTAACCAGTTACGGATCAGGGCATACACAACAAATTTTGGCTACCATTCTTAACTTTTGAGGTTGCTAATTAATCAAATGCTAGAAAGTATATCATATAGTGATATTATTATGCACAGAAAAAGATTGAAGAGTAATACTTAGATATGATTACCGTGAATAGAACCACACTTTAGTTACATGCCCGATCGAAGCTGCTACCTTGACGCGGTGGTCGGGCTTGCCTATCGTGATGACCTAACCGAGCTATATTGGCTGGAACATATGTTCCTGCAGGTTCTACCATGCCAGGCAGGTCGATTGGTGAACGGTAGGACTAAAAGCAGCAACTCAAGGTCTGAGGGCGAAGTCGTACTGCTGACTGTAGAGAGGTGTGGCAGCAGTAAGGTGTTTCCCTCGGACAACCAGCATCTGCAGCGATGCTGCCTTCCCACAAGGAGGGGTGGGGTTAGAAAAGGTCGACCCTAAAAATGTCACACCTCACCTTACCTCACGAAGTTCCGTCTCCGGCGGTAAGGCCCTTTGAAGAACGGAGCTAACACATCAAAAACCTTCCACAAAAAGGCCGTGCGCGACCGGCCTCAAGCAGTTGTCCCTTGGGTTCTGCGGTCACGCTCCCAGGTCGTCAAGACCAACACTAATCCAATTTCCTTTTCAGGTTCCTCAAGAAATACCCTACCACGGTGTGGGCAACCGGGAAGTGACATCAGCCCTCATACCCGTAACAGCACAAGAGACCAAGGTGGTCACATTCAAATCCTTCCTACACCTCCTAATACCTCTCTTATCTCCATGACTAACCCTCCTCACGTCTCTTTATCACCTCGCACCGCTAGGGCAAACGATTTGAGTACGTGGAACGTCTTTCCTGGTCTCCTGAAACCACGCTCTAAACTACACGTAGGAGCTTTTAACGTACGAACACTTTGCCAAATAGGACAGCAGGCTTCCTTAGCTAACACTTTAGAATCTCGCGCCATCGATGTGTGCTGCGTCTCCGAAACGCGCATACAGGATCCGAGTAGCGTCATTCATTTGACCTCACCATGCCAAAATAAAGAACCGACTCGATTTACGCTTCGTGTATCTGGAAGCCCTGATTCTGCTTCCCGTGGCCTCGCCGGCGTAGGTATAGCATTGAGTCCTAGGGCAGAACTAGCTCTCTTAGAGTGGATCCCAGTAGACAGTCGTTTGTGCGCTGTCCGACTGAACGGAACAGTAAGGATCCGGAAAGATAGGGACACTCGTCGTTGCCTCTTCGTCGTCTCTGCCTATTCTCCCACTGACTGCAGCTCAGATGATGTAAAAGATGAGTTTTACAGAAAGCTTTCGGACCTTCTCCGAAAAGCTAAGCGCTCGGATGTAGTAATAGTGGCCGGTGACTTTAATGCTCAAGTAGGTAAACTAAGCGATAAGGAAAGACACCTAGGTGGATCTTATGGTGTCGTGGCTCAAAGAACAGATAATGGCGACCGTCTGTTGCAGCTATGCTCAGATAACCGCCTGTTCCTTGCAAATACTAACTTTAAGCATAAGGAAAAACATCTTTTAACATGGCGACCCCCTAATTCGTCCCAACGTTGGACCCAAATAGATCACATCGCTATCAGCCACCGATGGAGGGGCTCGATAGAAGACTGTCGCTCATTCTGGAGCACATGCCTAGATTCAGATCATGCTCTAGTGCGAGCGCGTATTTGCTTGCGTCTTACTGGACGTAGGAAAGACGCTGCAAGGAAACCTCTTAGGGCCCTACTTAATGATAGTCAAGCTAAGAGTATATTTCAGGAACAACTAGGAAAACAGTTAGGCAGCCATGTATGTGATGCCCACCCCGATGCAGCATGGAATGATATCCGAAAAGCTGTGGAAACAGCAGTGATATCTGCTAGTAAGGTAAACCAGAAGGTTAGGGAGCAACACTGGATCTCAGCAGCATCTATCGCACTGATAGATGCTCGGAAACTCATTCCACCTGGCTCTGAACATAATGAAGAGCGGAGTCAGCTTAAGCGCAAGCTGACAAGAAGTCTACGCAATGATCGCGAACAGTGGTGGGTAGCGAAAGCAAGAGAGATGGAAAAGGCAGCGGCAATAGGTAATAGCAGACAATTGTTCAGACTCGTTAAGGAAACCGGAATTAGGAACCCGACCGTTAGCGAAACAATCTCAGAGAAAGATGGACATATTATTCATTCTCAATCCAGGAGATTGGATCGATGGGCAGAACACTTTAGGGATCAGTTCAACTGGCCTTCAGCCACACTTCGGTTTCACATATTCTTCAGTCGACCTGGATGGCAAGTTAATGTAATTCCTCCAACTCTTTACTTGGTTGAAAAAGCTATAAGAAATCTAAAGCATGATAGAGCAGCACGATCTCTAGTCAACCTGAATGGCAAGTTAATGTAAGTCCTCCGTCCCTTTACGAAGTTGAAAAAGCCATAGGAAATCTGAAACGAGGGAGAGCAGCAGGCCCTGACAGGTTTACTCCTGAGATTTTTAAGGATGGTGGTTCAATATTATCAGTGAGATTGACTGAGGTCTTAGGTAGAATTTGGGAACTGGACGTAATCCCATCTGACTGGTCTCAATCACTGATTGTGCCAGTCTATAAGAAAGGACAAAAGTCCTCTTGTGACAATCACAGAGGAATCAGTTTGACTAATATAGTGTCTAAAATATTAGCCTCAATAATACTTCGACGCCTAACTAAAGCTCGTGAAGAGCAGACTAGAGAAAACCAGGCTGGTTTTCGACCTGGACGTGGTTGTATAGATCAGATATTCACACTACGTCAGGTTCTAGAACACAGACACACATTCAGACGCCCCACAATGGTAGTATTTTTCGACCTTAAGGCAGCATTCGACTCTGTTGATCGTGAGGTTCTATGGCAGTGTTTGTCACTGAAAGGAGTACCAAAGAAGTACATTAACCTTATAAAGGCTCTCTACTCGAACACAACTGGTAGAGTGAGAGCTTATGGCGAACTGTCATCAGAATTGATTACCTCAAGTGGTGTTCGTCAGGGCTGTCCACTCCCCATTCTTGTTCAACTTTGTGGTCGACGTACTTTTAGAGATAACACTCTCCTCATCTAAATTTACAGGGGTTGAACTTCTACCGGAGGTTCACTTGTTGACTTAGAATATGCAGATGACATAGTTTTATTTGGTGAAGACGCTGACAAAATGCAGTCTTCTGACCACTCTAAGCAACAATGCAAGCATGTTCGGGATGCGATTCTCCCCTCCCCTCGAAATGCAAAATGTTGCTTCAGGATTGGGTTACATCGACATCCGAACTAGTGATAGGGAGTGAAGTAGTTGAGTGTGTCGACCGCTTCACTTATCTTGGAAGTCTCATCAGCCCTTGTGGTTTAGTGTGTGACGAAATCTCAGCACGGATACAGAAGGCTCGAATAGCTTTTACCAACTTGCGTCATTTATGGCGTAGGGGAGATATCCGTCTATCAACTAAAGGACGTGTTTACTGCGCAGCAGTTCGTTCCGTCCTACTTTATGGCAGTGAAACATGGCCGGTAAGAGTAGAGGATATCCGTATGCTACTAGTATTTGATCATAGGTGTCTTCGAAACATTACTCGTATATCATGGGACCATCGAGTAAGTAACACAGTTGTTAGGAAACGGGTACTAGGTAAGGATGGCAAATCAATTGATGAAGTAGTGAAACTTCATCAGTTGAGATGGCTGGGACATGTGTTACGTATTCAAACCACCGATTGCCTCGACGTGCGATGTTTTCTGGTGTAGGAGTAGGTTGGAAGAAAGCTAGGGGCGGCCAGACCAAAACATGGCACAAGTCCATGAAGTCACTGACAAGAGGACTGCGTCATGTTGGTAGGTGTAGACTACCTGGTTGGGATCTGCGAGACGATAGCAACCGATGGTTAGAGACCCTGAATGACATGGATCAAAATCGTTTGCAATGGCGCAGGTGCATCCACTCTTTGTGTTCTCCCAAATTCTAATCTTCTGAATTCTTCATGTCCCTTTTTTCCTCTTTCCAAATTTATTTCACTGGATTATACTCTTTAAATAACATCTCCAAACCCTAATCTTCCCGATTACTGCTTATACTCTTATTACCTCTACCACTACGGGATTTGAATCGACAAGTGCATCTCTGTGGTAATGTGGTGTGGCACCTCGAACTGATGTACGTACGTACGAAGTTCTACGTTGTTACTGACTGACTGACTGACTTTAGTTACATGATTCTTTACATTAATAAACGTTGGTACAATGGAGTACAAAATACATATGCACCACATAATAAAGATGTCGTGAAGAGCTAGATAATGTGAAGTGCGTACAACAAAAAGGAGAACAACGAAGAGAAATTGATGTATTAGTATGAAACAATAATAATAATAGTGAGAATAATAATCATAACGCGAGAAACAGTGACGTTAAGAAGAATATAGTCAGAACGAATTATTCAGACAAAGTTAGGTTCATTTTTGTGAAGTAAAAGAAAATTACAGCAAGCTCGCCATTGGCTTTTATTCTGATCCATTTCTGATAACGTCTCTAGACACTGTGTGCTGCATTATCTTTAGCACCCCAACCAGGAAATCGTGAAGGACAAACAGATGCAAGTATTGTACGACTTTCTTTCACACCACGACATCGTATCATAAATTGACAACCTCTCCGCTTTTTCCAATCAGTCCCAGAGACACCAAAAAATGTACGACGCGGAACTCTCTGGAACGACATTCGGAGAACATGTCCAAGCCACCGAAGTCGACGTTTCAAGATGGTGACACCAATTAAGTTATCGTCGCTGTGCCTGAACACACGATACCGAAGCTCTGCATTACTAACATGGTGATGCCAATCGATGTCAGCAATCCTTCGAACACAACGATGATCAGACACAGGGTTGCCTAACATCCTCAACTCGAAAAGGCCAGGTTTCACAAGCATAGAGCAAAACTGCTCCTACCGACGCGTTGTAGATCCGACCTTTTACAGCCAGACTGACATCACGAAGGCGCCAAAGATGACCCAGATTGGCATAAGCTGCTCTGGCTTTCACTATACGTGTATTGATCTCATCCCTCACGCCACCACCAGCACTTGTGTAGCTACCCAGATACACGAACTTCTCGACCACTTCTATCTGCTCACCATCCAAGGTGTTGCAGGATCAGGGTCCTGTCAGTTTTGTAAAAGTACTTTGCAATTCGAAGGTGCAAAGCACACTCAGTTCTTAGGGGAGCTGACTAAGCGAGGATTGTATGGCGTGGATATCATCGCACAATAAGACAATATCATCTGCATAATCAAGGTCGAGAAGTCTTTCTCCAGACAACAGATCTACACCGCCATCACTTACATCCATCAGAGCTGTTTCCAGAATGTCATCGATGGCAAAGTTGAGGAGGAATGGTGAGATCGGGCAACCCTGTCTAAGCCCACTGCTTGAGTGGAACAATGGAGAAAGGTGGTTGGATGCCCTTACTCAATAATTATCGAGCGCATAACTAAGACTCGTGAACTGCAAACATGAGAAAATCAGGCTGGCTTTAGAAATGGTCGTGACCGTATCGACCACATATTCACCATTCGTCAGGTTCTAGAACACAAGCATGCTTATCGACGTCCGACAATGGTGGTCTTTCTTGACTTAAAGGCAGCATTCAACTCTGTAGACCGCGAGATTCTGTGGCAGTGTCTGTCATTGAAAGGCGTACCCCAAAAGTACATAAACCTTGTAAAGGCTCTTTACTCGAACACTACTAGTCGAGCCAGAGCTTATGGCGAACTGTCATCTACTTTTGCAACCTCAAGTGGTGTCCGTCAAGGCTGTCCACTTTCTCCATTTCTGTTTAACTTCATCATAGACCTACTGATGGAAATAACATTCTCGTCGACTGAGTTCTCGGGTATTGATCTCCATCCAGGAGGTCCACTTATCGACTTAAAATACACAGATGACATAGTCCTGTTTGGTGAAGACACGAATAAAATAGTCTTTCAACCGCCTTAAGCAACAATGCTATCATGTTTGGGATGCATCCTAGGGAAACTTCAACACTATGGTATGCCTGAGAAAATCGTCAATATCATACGGAGTTTATACGACGGACTACAGTGCAAAGTGCTGCATGGAGGACAGCTAACAGATTCATTCCAAGCGAGGACCGAAGTCAGATAAGGCTGATTACTTTTTCCGTTTCTCTTCCTTTTGATGGTCGACTGGATTATGAAAACCTCGACATCTGAGGGAAAACACGGCATACAATGGACAGCTAAGAACCAATTAGAAGATTTGGACTTCGCAAATAACCTGGCCCTTCTATCCCATACACACGAGCAAATGTAGATTAAGCCAACTAGTGTAGCAGCAGCCTCTGCATCAGTAGGCCTCAACATACACAAAGGAAAAAGCAAAATCCTCAAATACAATACGAAGAGCACCATCCCAATCACACTTGATGGAGAAGCTCTGGAAGATTTGGAATCTTTCACGGACGAGGAGGATCTGATGCAGAAGTAAAGGCGAGGATTGGCAAAGCAAGGTCCGCATTCCTACAACTGAAGTACATATGGAGCTCAAGACAACTGTCAACCAATATCAAAGTCAGAATCTTCACTGCGAACGTCAAGACAGTCCTACTGTATGGAGCTGAAACTTGGAGAACTACCACAACCATCATCAAAAAGGTAGAAGTATTTATAAACAATTGTCTACGTAAGATACTGAATGTCCGTCGGCCGGATACCATCAGCAACAGCCTACTATGTGAGAGAAGAAACCAGCTTCCAGCTGAAGAGGAGATACGGAAAAGACGTTGGAAGTAGACAGGATATATATTGTGGAAATCACCAAACTGCATCACAAGGCAAGCCCTAACTTGGAATCCTGAAGGGAAACGGAGAAGTGAAAGGCCGAAGAACACACTACGTCGGTAACCGGAAGTGGACATGAAAAGGATGAACGACAACTGGAAAGGATTGTCCAGGACGTGGTTAGATGGAGACTGCTGGTGGGTGGCCTATGCTCCTTCCCGAGGGGCAACAAACGTAAGTAAGTATAGAAGTTGTAAAACCCTTTATTTTTGTTAAAGACATTACGTAACATAGTATGTATACAAGAAACATAACATTTTAAATACCAAAATTCATTTGCTGTGACTGAACCTATCCCTAAAATGGTTCAACAGTTTTAAGGAACGTTTGAAAAGAAACCAATAAGCAAAATAAACTATAAAATCGATTTACGCTGGTTGGTCAAAAGCCTCTGGACAATATTAGTCAAAATAATCATTTCATGGTCATTAAAAAGATCTCTTGACCTTTCTTATGAACTGAAATTATCACCATTTATATAACCCAGAAAACACAGTATTAATCTATTATTCACTTTTACCTACATCAAAATGAGCTGGAAGTACCAAATAAAAATGAAGATACACATATTTTTGTTGATTTAACAATTTGATTGCTTTACGAAAGAGAATCTAAAACAGATAATTGTAGTTAAAATGTAATTGTAAAAAGACTACCATAGCCCCAAATGCATTATGCGATCAGGATAAAAGGAAACTAGAAGGCGTTAGGAATTGACGCTGAAGAAAATAAATGACATTTATATGTAGTAAAGAATATGAAACAAGTGGATATGACAATACTTACTTATGGGAATCGCGAGACGAATTATGAAGTACCTCATGACTGGAGACGGTACCACGTCGGTTATCGCGACCACGAATCCCAGACTTCGAAAAGTTGTTGTATCGTTCATGACTAAATTCATTTTCTTGGTCATCAACCTGACAGGATGAAGTATAATTCTGCATATTTGCATCTGAATCCCGTCTTCCTCCAGCTGGTACTATTGGATGTTTTCGCGTTTGATTGACAGAAGCAGATGGACGGGCAGAGAAATAATTCCCCTTTTTAGTTCGTAAAGCGTTGCCTTGAGTTGAACTCTGGTCGTTATGTTTTGGCTCACTTTGGCTGTTCAAAGTTTGTTCGTTTTGACATTTTGGTAGTGATTCTTTTGATGTTGGTTTTATCACACATTCTGATGATTTGTGTCCTTCTAATTCTGAAAGGTTTATTCTAACCCTATTTTCTGAACTAGAATCCGAAATCCCCGAAAATGGTTTTGAGTCCGCTACAATGGCTGATTTTCTGGACGCTGATGCACTAGGTTTTTCTGAAGTTGCGTCTGAAATGTTTGATGCCCGAAATGATGGCCAACTCGAACACTGATTTGTAGACCTGTTTGGACGCTGACCTAGATAATAATTCAAAAATAATTTTTGTATCTTGAGTGTATGGTCAAAAGTATGTCTCTTTTGACGTTTATAAACGTTTAACGCTTTCGTGGAGTGGCAATGCTTGTATTCACAGTTAAAACCATATATTCAAAGATATGTGATCTCAAATTTAGAAAAAACGTACGTACAAAATTTCGTATCAATACAATACAATTGAACATAAACTTGTGGTAGACAAGAGGAGTGAAATAAGAGGACCTTCATGCAACTAATGTACATCAGTTGTGTGATCGAAAAGGCATAAACAATATTTATGCCAGGTGTTGAGTATTTTTTAAATTATTGCTAATTATTCTGGTTTACATATGACCTGATACATCGAGATTAAAAGTAACTACTAAGCTGCTCTATTGTTAGCATTACTGATATTTTCGTATATTTAGTGGCGAGTTAGAAATCATATTACCCAGAGTTTATTACAATTGGGGATTTAATGGAAAAAGGTAGTTTTATATTACAAATAAGCGGAAAATATCGCCCCAAGATATAGTATTTCCTGATAGCAAAACGATATGAACATTTTGGAGAAATACCTCAGAAGTAACGTGAAACTAAATACGTAGATTAGATAGCATACTTTATTATTTTTATTTGAACATATTGGTACAAGGAGGCACCAAATACATATGCGCCACACAAACCTCATATGATTTGTGCGAGGGCTGTGATACTGCCCGGGTGCCCAAACCGAAACAGGTGGTTTTCTTGGGGGGCCACACCCGGAGCCTTCGACCTACAGGTCTGATCCACAAGGCAGTGAAGCATAGTAAGGAGATGCAGTACCATGGTAGCCGGTGATCAACGATTGGTTCATACGCCATTTGTTCACTCAGGACATTGGAGCCCATGTGCACCATTGGCTTGGAATCAGGGTTTTCCAACTCACCTAGGTGAACTCTCCGTGTCCACCAACTCGGTCAAAGCGCCGGACATTCGCTTTTCGTCCTCTCAATTTCGTAAACAACACCCCCGCCACGAGAAGGCAGTGAGTAGTACTTCCCTGGCATAGGCTATATACGCGTAGGCATGTGAGAGCATTTCGAGAGGGTGAGCGGCCTCTGCCCACTATTGGTCGTACCAGGGCATACACAACCGATACAACATTGTAACATACTGATCTTATTTATTTTTCAAGAGCCTTTGATCTCATAATCGTCTCATACGACATATGATCACCAACAGGCTTTGTTTCAATAGACTGAAGCGATTCAAAACTCCACTGCAGTTGTATATATAAATTTGGCAGGTTGTAAGCTACTAATAAGAACCAAGCATTATACAATGAATCCCCCGAACTATATCCTTCGGTTGTAATCAACCTAGGACATGATATAAATGTAAACGAGATGAATAACCAAGGAGTTAGAGCAACAGTAAGACAAAACATACAGAACATATTTCGGGAAGGAATGGAGTTAGGAGACAGACAGCACGGAGTGATACTGGAACTCGAGATGTGGGGGGAAGTAAGAAATAAATGCATCTGACCCTGTGAGACCAAAGTCACATTTAAGTCTGATCTTCCTGGTTTTCTTCTAGTCCACTCCTATCTAAAATAATATTGAAGACTGAGGTTGTTGGTGGTTAAGAATATGTAACACGTGTTCCGGTCAGCCCATTGAATGAGATAAACAACCTTGTAAACTATTCTGTCAAATTTATCAAGTAACCTGTAACTGACTTCAGTATTGTTTACTCCGTTTTTCTATCATATCTGAGTAATGCCTTGAAGGAACATGTGATAAATACCGCTAATCTAGAAAAAAATCACAATTTTAGAATGTCGGAGTAATTTGAAGTGCATTCCAAAAACATGATACTCCCTGTGCGGTTGGCGGAGAGTTACCTCGCCTTACTTACTTACACCTGTTACTCCCAATGGAGGATAGGACGCCGACCAGCATTCTCCAACCCACTCTGTCCTGGGCCTTCCTTTCTAATTCCATCCAATTCTTGATCATTTCTCTCATGTCGATCTCCATTTCCCAGCGTAGTGTGTTCTTTGGTCTTCCTCTTCTCCTCCGTCCATGAGGATTCCAAGTGAGGACTTGTCTTGTGACGCAGTTGGGTGCTTTCCTCAATGTGTGTCCTATCCACTTCCAGCGCTTCCTGATTTCTTCCTGCGCTGGGATCTGGTTTGTTCTCTCCCATAATACGTTGTTGCTAATAGTGTCCGGCCAACGGATCTGAAGTATTTTGCGTAAACAACTGTTAATAAACACCTGTATTTTCTGGATGATGGCTTTCGTAGTTCTCCAGGTTTCCGCCCCATACAGTAGAACTGTCTTGACACTTGCATTGAAAATTATAACCTTGGTGTTGGTTGACAATTGCTCTAAGTTTCAGATGTTCTTCAGTTGTAAATATGCTGCTCTTGCTTTGCCGATCCGCGCCTTCACATGTGCATCAGATCCACCATGTTCATCAATGATGCTGCCTAGGTATGTAAAGGTTTTTACATCCTCCAAATTTTCTCCGTCAAGTGTGGTTCGATTGGTGCATGCTGTATTGTATCGAAGAATCTTGCTTTACCCTTTGTGTATGTTGAGACCTACTGCTGTTGAGGCTGCTGCTACACTAGTCGTATTCTCCTGCATTTGTTGTTGCGTGTGCGATTGATGAGCTAGATCATCTGCACAGTCTAGATCATCCAGCTGCATCCTATCTGTCCACTGTATCCCATGCTTCTCCCCTGAGATGTTGACGTCTTCGTGATCCATTCGATCACTAGAAGAAAGAGAAAGGGTGAGAGTAAACAAACATGCCTGACACCGGTCTTCACTTCGAACGAGTCCGTCAGCTGTCCTCCATGCACGATTTTGCAGTGTAATCCATCATATGAGTTCTGTATGATATTGACTATCTTCTCAGGTACGCCGTAGTGTCGAAGAAGCCTCCATAGTGTTGTCCTGTCCATGGTATCAAATACTTTCTCGTAGTCAATGAAGTTGGTGTGGAGTGATGAATTCCATTCAATTGATTGTTCCACAATGATCCGTAGTGTTGCGATTTGGTCGGTACACGATCTAGCCTTACGGAATCCTGCCTGTTGGTCTCGGAGTTGGGCGTCTACGAAGTCCTTTATTCTGTTTAAGAACACCCTTTTGGAGACTCTTCCCGGTATTGAGAGAAGAGTGATGCCCCTGTAGTCATCACAGTTTCTGAGATCGCCTTTCTTTGGTACCTTGATCAGGAGTCCTTCTTTGGCACTTGTTCTTCATCCCAAATCTTGCTGAAGAGAATATGGAGTGTCTTTTCAGTTACTGCCACATCTGCTTTTAGTGCTTCCGCTGTAATGTTGTCTGGTCCTGCTGCTTTGCCGCTCTTGATATGTCTGATGGCCATGCTGATCTCTTCAATCGTTGGTGGGCCAACATTGATTGGGAGGTTCATGGGTGCTGCTTGAACGTTGGGTGGGTTCAGTAGAGTTGGTCGATTCAAGAGTTCTTTGAAGTGTTCTACCCACCTGTTTCGTTATCCTTCGATGTTGATGATTACTTTGCCTTCCTTGCTTTTCACTGGTCGTTCTGATTTACGGTAATTTCCAGAGAGTTTCTTTGTTGTGTCATAAAATTGTCTCATGTTTTCTTCTCTTGCAGTTACCCCGCCTACACCACAAATATTGACTATTCACAAAAGCTAAGTTAGTTTTCTGAATCCAAACATCCTTGCAGTTACTCTAGGCCCTTAAAAGACTAGTTTTGTCAGCTACGTCGACAAATGCACTATGTCACCGATCACTGAATCTTATGGTAAGAGATCAACCATTAAAATTTAGACGAAGAACTTTTTCTGTCTGGAGTAAAAGTGGGCAGTCTTAGTGAATATCACTTAACCAGTTCAGATGAGAGTTAGCGATAAGCTGACTGGATTTGTAATTTGAACTCTAAAAAATCCTTGTTCTGACTTTAATGGACCAAATAAAACCTATCGAAATGTGTACTCGCACTAGAAAACGATCAGAGGTCCGAAGAATCTTGAGTGGTGGGTGATAAATATACGGTTTATTTGTAGAAGCTGCTGTTTCGATGTTGTGGATAGCTAGGCTGCACAATGTCTTGCCTTACGTTTAGGGAGGTAGGAGGTTCGAAAGATTTTTGTAAAACTCATTTTACTTCAATTGTACTACAGTCAGTGTAGCGTAGTCAAAAAAATGCAAAAAGCAACGGCCTACAAGTCTCCATTGTTCCATTTAAATGAACAGAAAAAAGTGACTAGTTACTTGAATTCATTTCATGGATGTTTGTTCTGCTTTCAAAGTTAATGCCTTGCTTGCACCAGTAGCTGAGTCTCCTGATACTCGAAAAGTGAGCCACTGCATGTAGCCCAGTGGTGTGCTCGATTTCGAGCCAATAAGTTATGGATCCGGACCCCGCCTACTTCAATTTGAGCAACTGAGTATTACCAACAGCCTCCACGCTTAGTGTGTACATATAAATCCTAATCATTCATCAGTACGAGCACGCGTTTGCGTACTACTGGATACAGAAAAGCCACGTCAAGAAGACTCCTCAGAGTTCAACTTAACGACAAAAATGTTAACAAGATACTTCAGGAACAACTACAGAACCAGCTATTCAATCGTCAAAGTGATGCGGAATGACATGATATCCAGACAGCAGTGATATCTACCAATAACTTAAACCAAAAGGTTAAGAAGAATCAACGAATTTCATCAACGTCTACTGAACTGATCAATACTAGGAAACTCATACTATCGAGTTTCAAGCACGACATGTAGACTGACAAAAAGTTTACCCAATGATAGTAAGCGGTCAGTCAGCTAAAACGTAGGACCAGGCACATATATGCATCAGTCCAGGTTGCCATACCTCATTAGCACAGCAAGATGAACACCAGATTCATAGGAGTGGTTAGGTCAAAGGTGGTAATATATAAGAGAAAGATTGCATATAGAGATATAGTACAAGAAGAAAGAATTGGTTCGTAGAAAGAA